GATCTTCTGCTGAGATGAAAATGCTCATTGTGGGATCCTGGCGATTAAAGTTTGGCAGCCACTAGAGGAATGGGTTTGATTGTAATTAGCATGTGAAATCTCCAAATGAGATCTTCTCTTGAAGGCTTCATTTGTAGTGAAAAGAGGTAAAAGTATAGTGAGCAATCCACACTAGATCCCAAGGGATCCAAGTTCATATGCATCCATCTTGTTCATGGTTTTTGGATTGCTGCTTGAAAAGCACATGGAGCTTGTAAACTGCTACTATCTTAACTTCCAAACCGTCACCTTGGATCCCTGTCACAGCCTTGTAATTCTTCAAGATTGCCTATGTGTTTTTCTAGCAGCTCCTAGCATAGAATAAAAGCTCATCATCATAAGATCAGGGTAAGGGCTCTAGAGAACAAGATTAGGAGAAAATACTATAAATAACACTTTTTCACACTTTTCTAAAATACAAGGTGTAAAAAATGATATAACTATTTATGATCTATAATATGGTTATTTAAATACTAATTTAAAATTCTGGATATTTAGTTTTGGCATATGGTCATATACTCACCTAATTTAGGAGGAATTCAACCTACCAAGTTATCAAAGACCTTTTATAACTCTTGCTAGTTTTAAAAATTGATAAAACATTTGAATACTTGGTTGTTAAGGTATGTTTTATTTTTCTTTTGTTTCCACTTGTAAAAAAAACAAAAAATGAAATATGATTACTTATAGATAATTTTGGTTTTCGAAGATATAATATTTTTAAAATAAAAATAATAAATTTAGCAATAAGTAAAATAACAATAATATTACTATTTTTTAGACATGCCAATATTGAGTTAGAAATTAATATTGACCATTATTATTTAGTGTTGCTCTAATAGCAAGTGAAGCCTTCGAACATGCTGACGTGGCAGTACTTCTTGGATCATTTCTTCGGAGGTGGCCCGAGCGCGCGCAGACTCTCCTACTAGAAAAGGTGTGCTTCCTTTTGGGTCCCGGTTTGACAGCTTCAGCAAATTGGCTTTGAAAGAAATCTCAATTGCAAGGAAACTTCTCTAGCAAAAGCAAAACTCAAATCCTGGAAGCGCTGCCGGGGCCGTGGAAAACTTCGATCCTTGGTGTACTTTCTGGGCCTGAATGCTTGCGGACAATTGTGGGCAGATCTTCACCGGAATAATTTGCGGCATTTTTTAAAGCACCAAAGTGGTGTTCATGCTGCACATAGGCACGAGCAAGCATGCAAATCCAAATGTTGCCAGTGACACCCAGCAGCTCTTGCATCCTGGCCCAGAGTTGCGGCCTGTCCTCGTCATACTCCACTCCACCAGCCGAGACGACTGCCTCTCTTATGGCATGACGGATCTCATCCGAGCTCGCTCCCAAGTCCCTCTGCGTGCTTGGAGACTGGATCCACGCCGCAAACGCCTCACAGATTCCTCTGGTGGAGTTGCTAATCGCAACAAAAACCCCTTTTCCACTGCGGGACACGCGCTGCCCTCCCCGTCTGGTATACAGCAGTGACTTGCCTGTGACGATCCAAGCAAAAAGGATCACGATTGAGCAAAGAGAAAGGCACTGTATAGACTCACAGTCTCGTTTCCACCTCTCACGATCAACGCTGGCGCCCAAGCAGTCCTCGAGGATCAGCTGCAGCACCAAACTCGTAAGCGATGGATGGAATCATTTACATGCTTACATAAACTATGTAGAGGATCATGTCGGAAATCCGAGGTCTCCATATGGCCTCGTTGCGGCTGCCATCGTCAAAACGGTGCCTTTGAAGCGTGCTGTCGGAGCTCGCAGCCCGGAAGAGTCCGTCCCAGGCTGCCTGCTTGATCGCCCCGAATTCTTCTAGAGAGCACGCGGTCAGGCATGGATCCCACTGCACGTTGGCGCAAATCTCCACGAAAAGGCTACCGTAGTCATTGCCAAAGACGGTGGCAGCCGCGTCACAAAGCTGGCGACACTCGTCGCTGCTTCCCCGGCTCATCGTAGCCTGGATGTGCTCCACAATCGACTCCGATGATGTTGCTGCCGAGCACAGGGATTTGAGCTCGGCGTGGTCGCGGCATCCCTTCCTCGTGTGCATCCATGTATAGATCAGGCGCGCAATCGGCACGCTCACGTCTGCGTGCTCCTGGAAGAGCGGCTCCGCGGTGGAAGTTGTAGTGGCCTTGGATCCACTGCTCGAGCCGGGCACGAATCTGGTTGTCCCATTGGATTTCTCCCGCTGCCATCACCTCCTTCCACACAAAAGTTGAATGCTTTCAAGCAAAACGGTATCAATCATCATACCTCCAACATCTGGTGCAGAGCGACGGTGAGGTCCATGGACTTCCACTCTATCCTGGGCGCGTTTTCGATGCAGGAACGTATCCGTTTGAGCTTGTCCAAGGATGCCGGGGACAACTTTTCATCCTTCAGCACTGCTTGCTTGCTCAAGAACAGCAGCAAGAGATTTTCCAGGGGTCCAGCTCCGCCACCGCCACCACGGTCACCTGCTATAGCTTGTGCTTCGAATGCGTCGAGCCATTCCAGCGGCTGCTTGTTGCTCTGGAGCTGGAGCAACAGCCAGGTGAAGACGACGACACAAACCTTGCCGCTCGCATCGAACAGGAGAGCGGCATCAGCAACGCAAGTGGGCGAGAGAGTGCAAGGAAACAATATCGACACGATGGCTGTGGAAAAGGAACCAAGCTCTCAGTTTGAGAGGAATCCAAAGAAGAAGTACGCCTAGCTACCTGACACATATTCATCTGTGATGACCAATGGGAAAGACGTTGGTGTCCGATCAGTGGCCTCCTCGACCTGCAAAAAAGAAAAAAAACCATAACTTTGCTACAAACAAGCACTCACAAGGTGGAGTTCGGTCAGGGCGTACGTGCAGCGGCCTGTGCAGCACTCGGGGCGGGGATGAGGATTTCTAGATTGCTCTTGATGTGGGCTATGGCGCGTGAAGTAGTCGGCCGCGATGAAGAGGTGCAAGTAGCCATCCGGCACGGTAGCGCCAAGGACGCGTGCGACGGCCACAGTCCAGATCTTCCACTTGAGCTCCGAGACAGTGGAAGAGACCAGGACTTCGAAGAACCACGGGATGATCCAGCTCCAGTCCAAAGTGAGAGAACGTTGCCCTCACAACCATCAGCAGTCTGGAGCCTATGCCGCTGCGGAACCATTCCGCCACGACACATGGCATCCACCCCACCAGCCCTATGCATAAAATAGGGTTTTTGCTTTGTAGATTTTAAGGTTCCAAGTCGTCTTCGTCGCATCAGCACCAGAAAGTACACGGCATAGACCTCACCGTATAAAAAACAAGAGCTTGCCTGCCATTTCTCTTACGATCCCCGTGGCGCAGCTCTTTGCCCATATCTAACCGCGCTTGGATCTCTGAGTTCCAAGCATTCCAGCATCCACAAAGCTACACACACGAAAAGAGAAGAGTTGGCGGTCACTCGAGTGAGAGAAAAACCCTAGGCATTGGCTTTCCATGACTCAAGCAGTGTAACGCCTCAAACACTTTATACTACTAGTTCTCGAGGTTTATAATAGAGAATGTAATGCTTCCATCATATAGGAGGACATGAAGGAAATTAAAACTAGCAAATCTATTAGTTTTATAAATAAAATTTCTAAGTTTCACACCTTGATTTGGTCAATAACAACCATCAATGTATGGGGGCCATAAAAGAATGTTATATATAAAGCAATGCAACAAATTAGAGTTTAGATATCTCCTGAGAACAAGTTTAGTTGTTTTCAGTTGCTAGAATTGTGAAATCCAAGAGAAATGTAAATGTTTTGAAAAATTCTCCTATACACATTTGATGATAGACTTTTATAATCACATTGCCTTTTTCCTACTAGGATGTGTTTTGTGTTGGCATCCACATATGCCAAGGCAGAGCACAACATTACACTAAAAAAGACAGTAAGGAAGTCTTAATAGATTTGCATTATAATGACTATATAAGCTATATTTGTTGGCTGGCTTTTATTCCTTTGAATGCAATGCAATGGCCTCCCAACCCTGCACAATTGCCACACTTGCTATTGAAACAAGCAAAATCCCTACTCCAAATGATTAATAGTGATGTGTTTGAGATGGATTTCAAGTCTTGTACCTTTGGGATATGAGAAGATATCAACCTATTATGTGGGGCAATCTGCAAGTTGGAGGAGGATGCCCGCCAAAAGACCATTGATGACATCCTAGAAAACCTAGCCATCACACACCTCAATAGTTCAAGGTTGGTGAACATTATGGTCAACTACTTGGAAAAAGTGGACTCTTGCATATGGGCAGTGATGTGAAAAACATTATTCTGTGAACTAGGACAAATTGGAGAAATAATATGCACTTCGTCATCATAGAGGCATGAAGAAGACCACACTATAGTGGGCAATTGATGAGGGCTCTCGCAAATATAGGGATGGACACCCTTTTATAGTTGTTTCAAGTACAGAATATCATCCTACCAAAGGGAATTTTTCAAGTGCTTATGGTTTGACAGTAGTGTGAGCAAGTAGTATCAATTTTGGCTCAAGGAAATAATTGAAAGCTGGCAAATAGTAGTCTTTATTTGCTTCACTGAGAAGTGTGGTAATGCAACCATTCTCTTATATCACATTGGAAGTATAAGCAAAGGAGTGAGATGACAATGATGCACTACAAGAGGAGTTATATGAAGCTAATAAAACCATGGGCATTTTTGGATTGAAAGAGGAGTTATAAAAGCACTTTAAAACCCACTTTTCATTGCCCCACACTAGATGGGACACTAGAAATTTATAGATTAGAGAACTAATAATTCGATTAAGGATTCGGCTTCAATAAGGAGGAATTTGGTGGAAGCTGATTCAAGTCTGTATACAGCACCTCAACCGAATAAGACGACTGCTGTGGAGAAATCTTTCCGGACGAAGGCCTTCTGCGTCGACGGATTTCCGGTCTCCTTTCTATACCACTCCTTAGAAAACCGAGGAAGAAATACTCTTCACACCAAGAAATGCGAGTTCATTAGCCACAAATAGCTCCCTTAAGATAACTTCAAGCCCTAAATTTGAATTTAGGACTCTAGCGATGGGAGGCACAGACAATGCGGGGCGACGCGACCCCGGCGATGCCCGCGCCCGCGAGCTCCGCCATCTCGATCGGCTTCCCAAGCGGCGATCGCCAGCTCCAGCGATGCAAGAGGTAGGCGAGGGTGAGCGTGACATGGGGCATGGCCAGCGGGATCCCGACGCAGCGGCGCCGCCCGGACGAGAAGGGCAGGAGATCGAAGTCGTTTCCCAGCACGCTGTGGTCGCTGCCCAGGAATCGCTCGGGGAGAAAGAGCTCGGGGTCGCTCCAGACGCTTGGGTCGTGATGGATTGCCCAGATGTTCACGAGGACCGTGGTGTGGGCGGGGATCGTGTAGCCGGCGAGAGTTACCTCGCGATCGTTGTAGTGGGGGACGCCCAGCGGCGCGATTGGACGCTTCCGGAAGACTTCCTTGACGATGGCTTGGATGTAAGGCAGGTCGTTTAGATGCGACTCCTCCAAGGGACGGTCTCTTCCCACGACTCTGTCCAGCTCCTCGTGAGCTTTCTCCTGGACTCTGGGGTTTACTATCAGCTCGGAGATGGCCCATTCGATCGTCCCCTTGGACGTTCCAGTGCCGGCCAGCAGCAGATCCTGCAAGCATACGTGAGAAAGAATGAAGAACAAGGTAAGTTTTTTCTTTCTACCTGGAGCAGTGCGATGATCTGGTCGTTGCTCAGCTTGTCTTCTCCTCCCAGAGTCAGCATCACGTCGACGAAGTCCCGGGGATTTTCCGGATCGAAGTCTTTCGCGTGCTCCTCGATGACTGCTTCCAGAAAGCGAGATCTTGCTGGTAGGACTTCATTCTTGAGTCGGTTTTGCGTCCCTCTGAGCGTGTCCAGCCATCGCATCGCAGGGATGTAATCACCGGCAAACAGCCTCCTGGATTCTTTCGCTTGGATCGCCCACGACGCCTTGTAGGCTTCGGCCTCGGGAGTGAGGGGCGTGTCGGTGCCGTAGAATTTCCTCCCGAACAACACGCACGTCATGAGGTTGGTGAAGTACTCGTGCAGCATGGAGCTGAGATCAAACTCGTGCCCGTCTTTTGCAGACGCCTCAACGATCGCTCCAAACGCTCCCAGCTCCCTCTTGCGAGTGCTGGCAAAGTGGCTCACCTTGGAAGCCGTGAAGAGCTCTGTGCCGCACACTCGCCGCAGCATCTTCCATCGCTCGCCGTGCGGTGCAAAGATAAGGTCCTGGAAGTTGTGGCTAACGAGCCGACTGATGGTGGAGAACAGGGGCCTGCTCGCAAACTCGACGTCGTGCTCCTTGAGGACTTGCCTCGCCATCTCCGGGCTGCTGATGATGATGTGAGGCCGGACTCCCAGCCGGAAAGACATAACAGGGCCATACTTTCGAGCCATCTTGGCCAGGGAGCGATGCCGATAGTCGAGCGAGAAGAGAGAGCCAACGAGGGGCCATGAGAAAGGACCTGGTGGGAAGTTCTTCTTGCTCCTCGCGCTGGTGGAGTGGAAAATCTGGAAGAGGAGCAGCAGGGCGGCCAGTGACGAGCAAATCCAAGTCAGCAACGCATCCATGATGTTGCCCGGGTAGAAAAAAGAGATTGGTGGAGCTTTAAGTACGTCGAAGTGATGGATCGAAAGCTCCAGAGGGAGTGTTCGTCGAAGCATCCATGCTCGAATGAGACATCTGGTGGAGACGAAACTCCCAAGTTGTGCAAACAGTGCAACGAAAGGTACGACGAAACTTCGGTTTTCGTGGACGAGACGAATTGTTTTTCTATGATTAATATAGATATTCTGAGAATAATGTATTTTACCTAAGGTCTGGGTTTATGTGCTTTATGTGTTAGAGATGCTCCCGAACGTTTTGTCTCCCGAGGAGATAGATGTGATCCACACCAGGATTTCATGGATGACGTAGAGCACATTAAAGGCACTAGAGAGCTAGAGACTGTTTAAAGTAGTAGACACATTGACATGGCGCTTGAGTCTCTCCTTTTTCTTCTTCTTACTTTGGGATTTTAGTAATCTCGGCTGGATGAAGGTGCAACCTCTGCACAATCGCCATGAACCAGATAGCAGCCCCCACGGAAGAGGAAGTCCACGTACGTGTGGGCGAGCTCCAGCTCCCATATCTTGCCTGAATCAGACAGCACGACATAGTTTTCATCCTCGGCTGAGTGAGAAGGTTTCGGCTTAAGCAAGGCGGCCAAGCATGCAGCCGAAGCAGTTGGTCCTCCAATTGAGCTCTTCAAGAATTCAGGACGCTCTGGCTGCCAGTGGATCCAAGGTCAGGATCCCCAAGATCCTGTGGTCAGGCTGGGCTTTACAGCTGTTTAACTGGGAGCCAAGCTGCTGGGGACGGTGCAGGAGCTGCACAAGCAAGGGATAATCCACGGACATCAGCGCCAGGAACGTTGCTTACCGCGAGCAAGGCATTGGTTTGAAGAGGTTCTCTGGATTGCCACATTTGCATCGGAGGACAACGGTAGCGGGGGAACCAGCCCTGTCAAGGATCTGGAATTCGGCTCCATGAACTTGGTGTTCTGCAATGCAATTCATGCTTCAGCGGAAAGGTGGCTGGGATGGATTTGCCATGGTCAGCTGCTGTGCAGGAGGAGGACAAGGACTCGGTGGTCTTACTGTATGGCATGCAATTTGCGAAATCTGACTGTGATGCCACCAGTTGCCAGCACTCAATTTCCGATTGGATGTCAAATATATGAGCTTTTTATATACATAGATGACTCCCGTAATAGAAACCATGTCATGCATGGTGCCACATGCATTCATGGCATCCACCATATCATCATATGTTCCACACCTGAAGATAGGGTTGGGTCTGGCATCTTTGGATGTGAGGGGTTTTCGTAGTTACACTACATAGTGAGTTAATTTATGTCCTATCTCTGGTCATGTGTCCTGTTTGTAGTTTGGCTGAGTCCAAAAACTAGAGTATAGAGGCAGGGTGTTGACAAGCAAAGGAGATTCTGAGTAAACTCAAATAACTACATTATATATCTCTAACCATGTGAAACACTAGGTGAGGAGGCAAACAGCATTTTGTCCTCCTTCAGCTTTGCTTGTTCTAGTGTGGAAGTGGTGGAGGACAATGTTTTGCCTGTAAGCAGAAACTTCATACTTATATCTGTAATTTCTTAATTTCTTAGGCATTCAAGACTTTCTTGTGAACAAAAGGATTCACTAGTCCAGATACATTTGCCATCTAGTTACATCTCAAGATTCTTAAACAAAAACTACAAGGTACCTAGTAAACTACTTCCAAATTACAAGGCCAACTTTGTGCAAATTTATGTGCATTGTCATTCCGAATTGAAGGGGTGTATACAACAGAGTACCAACAAAGGAGATATTGAGTCAGGTTTGGAGTAATGTAGCTATAAATCATGCTGGCACAAACTGGGGTATCATCAACTCCTGGTTTAGTTATTGAATAGTAGGATATAGATTTAACTGACAGCAAGTTTATGAAACATTGGCAATGCATGATCTAACAAGATTACAATAGAGGCATCTGTCTAGAATTCGAAGATGAATTTACACTTATGTGCTATGCCTTATGGACTGCATATATTTCATTGTATTTGTGAAGACTTAAACATTCATTGTGGCAACATATTGCAAGCTTGTATCATATGGATTCTACATTTATGCTTTGATATGTGGGGGAACTTATATAGTCACTTGCAAGCTATCAACCATAAAACAGACATATATGATTTTTAACACATATGCACTGTTGTACACAGATTTAGTTAGCCTAAATGCATTAGGAGTGACAATGCTCTTGAACATAATGTGGTAGAGAATGATATGGAATGTTTTTGGGGTCCTCAAAGCAAAAGTTTTATTTGTGGGACATCAACAACTCAGTCTACCTTTAATATTTTATTGTGCATATTCATCACCACTTACCTTGCAGCACATCAAGCACTTCTAGCTTGAATTGTAAAAGCTCATGGTGTAGAGTCTATGGAGGATATTGGCATATTGGATGTTTCCAATACATGACATAAGTATAGTCTGCAATATGTTTTTATGCCATATCTTGCCAAAGACATATCTCATTAGGTCGTTATGTGGAAGTTACAAGAGGTGCATCCATATCAATGTGGTGGGTTCTTAGGCCATCTCACATACCAGAAAATTTATTCTAGCCCCTAGAGTGTGAGCTTGGGTAAGCCTTTCCTTTGATGATAATATGCATAAACTTTCACACCACTTGTAAAATCATTTGACCATTATCTTCAAGGGACATAGTGCCAGGTTTGATGCTTATAAGTGCTGAAGGTGCAACACTCTCTTAGGTATTACTTCCCTTTTTTCTATCATATAAAGTATGCTGATGTCTCAGGAACTTGTTATTATGAGGAATCAGGCTTTTCTATTAACATAGGTCTTCCTTTTGCAACACCAGTCAAAGTAGTGGGCAAAAACAATTTTTTTGGTTTTGGTTTCTCTTGTTTTAGAGTGTTTGCTTTGATGTGGGAAAACCATAAATAAGGGTGGTTTGCTATGCCCTAACAACATCAAATCATGTGATTAATTATTAAACCAAAAGCATTTCATCTTTCTCTAGGGTTTGAACTATGTGTGTTTTTTTAAGGAACTAGAGCTTCAATATTACACTTCAGTCACACACTCCATGGTAAACCTTTTTCATTTCCTTTCATCTTTATGGCAAGCCTCACCTCCATTTTTATTTTCCCATAGGCAAGAAGTAAAGACTCAACATAATACATGAAGGTGGAGGTATTTGACCTTAGAATAGTGCTAGAAACCATGCTCTAGCTGATACTAGCAAACCTCACAATCTTCCTTTTACCTCCAATTTGCAAACCACACATGTGGGCCTAGTTTCAATAATTCTGTCTGTGCATAAGTATGTAGGGGTGCAACTTGTCAATACACCAACTCGAGTAGTTAATAACCCTCCACCAAATATTTTCTTCTAATCAAGCAATGAGTAGCTTTCCACTAGGATTTGGACATCTATTCTAAGGCTTGGGTGCTCTACCGGCCCAAAGACAATCAATTAGTAGTGCCACTGATAGCACCCCAATGCAATTGCTTTAGATGCAATGAACACCACCACTTGTAGGTATGGGTAGCACCCAATGCAATCACTACAGTTGGAACAAACACCAACACTAACAAACAATATACTGCATAGAGGCATAGGGTCATCAACTCTGTTATATAGCAATAGCTCCTCTATAATCTAGAGCTTGAGTTTGCCACTTAATCCACATTGAGGGGAGTCTAGAGTCATCACACCACCCTTACTACATTCTAGATGCCTGGTTTTGCCTCCTTCCAATTTGGCTTAAGGAGAGGGCCAATTTTCTATATCTCTATAGATTCAATCCATATTCTTCTTTAAAGAGAGCAACTACTAGAGCCTCTCCTCTCAGTGTGGAAGGCCTAAATGCTAGTCCAAGATGTTGGGAGCTATTAGTGGTGAGGGCCCCTTGAGTGCAACTTTGTCCTATGAGAATGAAGAAACACATTGTTATTCCTATAGCCTAAACTTTGCATCTCTATGGGAAATAAAGGGAGCCAATAATGAAGATCCTAGAACTTAAAGATGTCCCCTTATGACTTCCAGAATGCATGCCATAGAGGGAATTTATATCAGAGTTTACTTTTAGTTAGACACCATCCAATATGCTATCTAAGAGCATCATAAAAGGCATATATCAACATTCCAACTATGCAAGTATCTAGTATTGGAGCATTTATTTAGTGATTAAGACAATCCAATAGGTTGACCCCCCACCTAGACACAACAAAATATAGGCTTGCCTTATATACAACTTGATCATCAATTTGCAATAAATCAAACCACTATCAATTCACTATGATTTTCCTTTACAACATTATGCTTCATATAACCCAACAGCATTAAATTGCTTACCAACAGTAAATGTGTTCTCTAATGTAGAAGGAAAAGTGGCTAAAAGATGGGTGTTATACATCCGATTCCTACAGTGATTGACGACAGCAGCACTATCAGAACGGAGATTTTGCAAAGGCTGAAACTTACGAAAATAAATTCAACTTTATTAGTAGTATTGGATTATGACCATATAGGAGTTTATATAATGCAACACTAATAAAACTCTCTTCCTTATGACATACGTATACTAAAAATATGGCAAATAACTATCCTACAACTGTTTGTGGTTATTTTCACCCACTACAATATATGTTTTTTGAAAGGGTTTGTAATGCATGTAATCATGGGATGAGATTTGGATATACTATCACTATAAATTTTTAGAACTTTAGGGGATAAATAGGGATAAAATAGCTATTAAAGGCTCTTTTATCAAGCAATTACCCCTTTTTTCAGTTAGTTTAAGGGGAGAAAAATAGAGTGCACTATAAGAGTTATGAGCCAATGTTAATCATCAAGCCCCCACCACTAACTTCTATAGAGCAAATACTTAATGGACACAATTAAAACATCAGTATTGAAGAGCCTCTTACTACTAATGACAATGTTAATGAGGAAAAAAATGTGAGCCACAAAATCCCTAGGCCCCAAAGTGGTGCCGGAAGGGTGCCACGTGGTAGTGGCCAAAGCGAAAGCCAAACGAGCGTAACACGTTTGGACTAAAAGCTCCGACTGGAAAGGTCGAGAGCGGGAGTGGAACTCCCAACAAAGGGCTCGAGGAATGAGCACGAAGCGAGCCATAAGCAAGGCTCTAAAAAAGGGACCCGAGATGGAGTCCGAGATGGACCGAGACGGAGTCCGAGGTGGAATCCAAAATGGATCCAAGATGGAGTCCAAGATGGAGTCCGAGATGGACCAAGACGGAGTCCGAG